GCCGGGCAGAGCGTGCCTGCGGGCCGTGCTGGCGGACTCGCGGTTCTTCTTGGTGTGCATGTGCTTCCTGACCTTCATCCAGTCCCTCATGGTCTCCGGCTACCTGAGCAGCGTCATCACCACCATCGAGCGGAGATACAGCCTCAAGAGCTCGGAGTCGGGGCTGCTGGTCAGCTGCTTCGACATCGGGAGCCTGGTGGTGGTGGTCTTCATCAGCTACTTCGGGGGGCGCGGACGGAGGCCGCTCTGGCTGGCCGTGGGGGGGTTTTTCATCGCCCTGGGGGCAGCGCTCTTCTCCTTACCTCATTTCATCTCCCCGCCGTACCAGATCCAGGAATTGAACTCCTCCATCAGTAACGAGGGCTTGTGCGTGACCGGCAATGGCACCGCCAAAGAGCAGTGGGACTCGCCGGCCTGTGTCAAGGACTCCGGTGGAAACGACCACTCTCTCTATGTAGCTTTATTCATTTGTGCCCAAATCCTCATTGGCATGGGCTCGACACCCATCTATACCTTGGGACCAACCTACTTAGACGATAATGTCAAGAAAGAAAACGCCTCACTTTACCTAGGTAAGGCATCTAAGTACCAGGGTGCTTGGAAGGCTGAACCCCAGATCAATCTGAGGGACCAGTTACAGGTACTACTGCCCTGTTCCTGCTGAACAACATCTGTGCTAAGCTTCTCTTCTGAAGTGAACTTTTGAAGTAAAATTGCCATGTTTTCCTATTTTAAAACGTTTTGTGGAGTGGCGAGCAGCAGGAACAGGTGGAGGTAACCTAGGGTGCATAAAAGCGGCTGTACTCACACTCTCCCGCATGGGGAATGGGTCAGCAGGGCAGGTCAGCTTCCCTAACATTTTCCAGCTCTTGGCATCAGCTGGTGACTTTCAGACAGCCATGTTAAAGTTTGCTGTGCCCCTTCAAGTTTCTTTTTACTAATACAGGAGCTACATATTTCTGAATCTTGGTCAGCACGCCTTTAGCCCAGAGTCTCTGTCTATAATGTTAATGTTTTGTAAGCACTTTGAGAGATTTTGGCATGCATCATTTTACTTTTCCAGCATTCATTTATCTTTAACTAGCATTGAATTTTGGCTGGCATTGCTAAATCATCTTGCAACTCAGAGTTAAAAAAAAAAATAAATTGATAAAACAGTAAGTAAAGCCTTCAGGCTTAAGAGCTCAGTTATGGGAGCTCAAGGGATGCAACAAAATGAGAGTCCGATCTGGCACCTGGCTTTCAGCAGGTACAGACTGGTCTTCTTCATAGTTATTTTTACGATGGAAGAAGGGTTTCTCAGATAGCTGGGTACTCAACTTTTTGAAAGCAATAATGAACATCATACATTTTTAGTAGTTTGTGTAATGTGTAAGAGGATTGACTCTTTGACTTTGCATTAGTACCGTAAAGGATTCTGTAAGAAGTGAACCTCACGCACTCCTTCAAATTCTTTTCAAATAAGGAGAGTCACTTACAGGGCTGAGAGAGCTGGATGCTTAGCATTACCATTTGCAGTTTAATTTACTTGGGCTTTATGATAACCGTGGAGATAATAATTCCATGTAAAAGAGACGTGAAAGGAATACACTCAGGGTGTGTGTGTAATTACTTTATTAAGACAAAGTAGTGATCTGGATCAGTCCTTTTATTCCTTTTGACCCATTCTTTAGCGATTTGACTTCCCTGACTGGTTTTAAAACCACGGCACAGTCTATATGCGGTGTCTTGGGAAAGCCTGAGGCACTGTTGGTTTTCTGAAGGAGAAAGAGATATTGTCTGTGTTTTTTCTATTGTTTTCACAGCATGGCTAATCTGCCTGATGAAATACTTGACAAAATGTTTTCCTGCTTTTCCTCCCCTCTGAGAAAGGTTAAGTGGTAAGGAAATTTGGATTAACCTAGAATCAACTTTATTGGCAGTATGAAAAGGCAAACCATCTTGTTGCTGAGGTTAGTAATTGTAGTTTAGGGCAGCCGAGGAGGGCCAAAACTTTTGCAAATAGATGATTTCATACAGTCCTCAAAAACATGGAAAAGAAGGAAATGGAAAGGCTGTAGGTGAGGAATAAAGGTTAAAAGAGATGAATGGTACAAGAGGAGGAAGAATTCTTCACTAAAGGGGAAAGCAAGGTCAGTGCTTGGAAATCCTCACTGTGTAGGAGGAACAATGTCTACTACTGAAGTGCTTCTAGTGTAATAAAGTGACTTAGGTAACTTTTAATTGCGGCAAAGATCAGTCTTAAAGTTAACAAAGGTAAAAGACACCAGCAGCTGTTGGAAGACTGTATGTGACCCCGTACACGTCAGGCACCGAATGCAGCTTTGATCTATACTGGGAGTACCCTCATAGAGTTGAAGTCCGTATGTACTGATTCAGAACAGTAAAGATGAGGTACAGCATACATGAAAAATTTATGTCCGCAATCTGATTGTGTCCACAGGGAGAAGAATGAAAATAAACACAAAGCATGTTTAAACATCTAGTAAAATGTACCATCACCTCCCTTGAGTCTTTAAGCTACCCAGGGCTAGAAGCAATGTTGCTTGTCATTGGAAATCTTGGTATTACGTTTTTAAAATAGTGTGAAATTCTGAGGAAACTTTTAACACTGTAGGCTTAGGCCAGTGTCTTTTTGAGGGACAGAAGTAAAATTTGAGTTCTGTGGGAAAAAAGAAAAACAGTATTGGTTGGCACATTGATGTGAGCAAACATGGTTTTTTGGAGCTTCTCGGTGGTTTGGAATGTTTCATGTCCTCAAGGAGGAGAGGGATTTGTGGACAGTGAACACCCCAGCTGGGCTCAGGGATGGGATAGAGGTGGCCAGGGCATGTCTCTGCAGGCCGGCCACCGTACATCCTGCGTTATGCAATGCCTGTTTCCCAAGGCAGCATGATTTTATTACTGGGGCAAGCTATGCAAATGATATCAAAATGTAAAATGTATGTATGCATGTAGGCATGAGCTAACAAAAAGCCTTGGAATGGGCCGTGAGAGGTGAAGTTTTGAAAAGGGAAGAAAGCCCCTTGAAACAGATCTCAGTCATACAGATACAGGTGTCTGAGGGAGGGCAGTTAATTAAAAAAAAAAAGTATCCTCTAACACAAAGTGGAAGGTCACTAACATGTTTGTGATCATGCTGATACTGCATTGCATTTTTTTTTTTCCAAACAAAAGTAACATATATAAAGTTGTTTTCAGAGGGGAAACGTGTTTACAAGCATGTACATGATAAAAGTTCCACTGAGCTGCAGAATTGCTCTTCAACCCCATGAGTGTGCCCACTAATAGTAGGTCAGTAAAGCCCCCCTGAGTATCATTAATCCTGATTCTGCAAAAACTCACCTTATGTGGCTGTGGAAGCTATTTTATTTATTTTCCAAGTTAATCCAGCTCAGGGCTCGAGTGGCAATAGCATATCCTCTTAAGTGTAGGCATGCAGGCTCAATGTGGACAGCTGTTTTAACATTCCTGGCTGGAAGTCCTGCTCTCAGAAAGCATATTTGATGCTTATACATAGTCTCTTGGCTGCCTACACTTAAGTCCATCTGTCAGGGTGGCATGGTGCCAGTTTACAAGGTGGTATGTCATTTTTAGTAGGACAAAGGTGCCAAGAAGGGATGTGTATTTGGGCTGCCTGCATAGCAATGTGCGAGCTCACTTTTCTGCTGGATGTTTCTTCCTTGTGAAGGCAGTGCCACCTCTGGGTCCTCCTGCCCCTTAAAACTGGCGGTACTTTGATGCCCCGATGCTAACTTTGAGAAAATGTATGATGTCAGGCTTGGAAACAAGTTGTGATTGTAACAGGTGCCTAGGAAATATAAGAACCGGCTCCCTTAATCACAGATAATCCGAAATGGAAGTTACACACTTTCCACAAAAAATGAGTAATCACTAAGTTGTCTTTGTCCTCTCCTAAAGTCTCTTCCTTCTGTGATCAGCTGTACTGTAGCATGTCTGTCATCAGCTGCCTGATGTGTGCAGGTTCTCCTTTTAATTAATGAAATTAATTGCCATTTAATTTGAATTGGACTTCACGAGTCTTGTTTTGTACTCTTGATGATGTTTCTGCTACTAGTCAAGTTCCAGCACTTAAAACACAGTATGTTTTTTTCTAAACACTGTGGGGTTTTTTGTAGGGATTCAATAGTCTGTCTTGAATGTGAGTTTACCTTGTGGTCGTATCATGAGTTCTAGAAGCAGTTCCTTAAAATTAACTGTGGCACTTGGAAAGGGAGGTTTTAATAGTGGCATTACAGTGCCTGAATAATTTTTAAATATTTAGCTTCTTTTGCAAGTGGGTATTGTAATAAAAGAGGAATTTGCTTTGAAAATTCACACATAGAAAGGCAATATTACGTTTTACAGAAATATTGCATTAGTGACAATATTTTAGTGTTCAGAAATGGCTTTCACCAGTACCCCCAAAAATGACTAGTGGATGAATTAGTCATTGTGCTGAGGATGCATTATTTCAGTTTCCAGAATGTTGTAGGTTGGTTAGGATATGATTTGAGAAAAGTGTCCAAGTCAGCTTAAGTTCATGAAGACTCTCCATAGTTTTGGGAACAAACTTTAATAGCAAAATGCAAATATAAAGGTTTTATAAGAGGTGAAAAATTGGATAAACCTGTGTGAATGGAGTTGGTACAGATAATGGCTTGAGACCCAGGGAAGAAAAATCCTTTCCTAACCTGAAAAAAAAGAATAAATCTTTAGGCTAGTTTAAAAAATATTTTGGACTCTGGGTTTGTTTTTGTGAGGATCATTTGTGGGTTGCTGTTTCTAGCATTAGGTAAACCATTTCACTGTGACTGTATTCTGCTTGGAAATCATCTTCTTACCACTGTTTTATAGCTGGATGACCTGTGTACCCCTCATGACTTTTACAGACTTTGCCAAAGCCTGTATGTATGTGTATATATACAAATATATACACCTATATAAATGTATATCTGTATATATGCGTATATGCATATATGTATATATGTTGACTGTATTTATTGTATTTCTAGTTAAATCTACCCCTATATCCACATCCCACCTGGATGGAGTGGGCAGGAGGAGTAGCTTCACATACTTCACTCAGAAACCTACTACCTCTGCCCCCTGGGTCCTGGGGCAGAGTCCAGCTGTCGAACAGGCTGAGCCTCCATAATATGCCGTTGCCTGGATGCTGGCATGGGAAGCACAGGATTTTTGTGCTGCTTTGATTGATTCGTTTTGGTCTATCCGCTTCTGGGGTTACGGATGCCACTGGAGGACAGGAGCTGGAGCCTGCTGAGGGCATTGGGATGCTGCAAGATCACTGAGGTTTTCTAAGGCAGGATCAACTTTCTGGCTGAACAGGAGGGACCATCTGAAAGCAGTGAAACAGCTGACCAGCATTTCATTTTATTGTCGTCATTCAGCCTATGACCACTTGTAGTTTACATTGAATATGCTTCCTGCTACCCAATATCTGAAAAAGGCTTGTTTCCTACAGGGTATTCTCAGCATTGATCCCTGTAGTTGGTAAACCCTACAGACATAGTACATTTATTTTTACAACATGTCCATGAGGAGTCAGGAA